CCAGAACCCGATTCTAATTATTAAAGGCCCCTTTCGTAAAGCCCGTGAACCTGCAGCCTTGCGCTGGAAGCCCGGCTTGATCGAAGTTGAGGTCGTGTTGAAAATAGCGCGTTTGAAACCATAAGTTCAAGGTTTAGGGTTTAGGGCAGCACAACGCTTCCCACCCTAAACCCTGAACCCCAAGCCGCCAAAGCCCTCTAAGCCTCCAAACCCAAAGCTCTACACCCGAAAGATCCCTTTAAAGGGCATCTGGAACCCTCTTCCCCTGAATCCGAACTTCGAGCCTTTGGCCTAGGAATGTCACCATGTTGGTCTGCCTCCGCCCCTACAAGTCTCAAATGGTCGTGCAGACGGAGCGCTTTTCAGTTTAGGGTTTAGGATAAGGGTTTAGGGTCTAGCGGTCTTGGGTTGATTAGGGTTTAGGGTTTACTGGTTCAGAGGTTCACAGTTTGTAGGGTTTGCTTCGGTTTTCGGGACTACAGAAGTATACACAACCCCGGTATGGTCGTATGTATAAGGCTATGTATACTTGGAGGCATGTCACTCATGTCCCTGGCAATGTCACCAGGCAACTGCTGCTGCGGGCATGCTTAGGCTGTGGATTCAAGAATATATACCCTGAAGGTCCAGATCCCTCTTTGGCTAGCTGGGTTTCAGTCTTTGGTGTTGGCAGTGGTTTACCAGCCGTCAGGAGACGATCCTGATGACAGTTCTCTTCATGGTCTTGTGGTGTGCGGTGACTCCTGCAGAAATGGAATAGTCGTTTTTCCAGGATGAGGGTGTACAGGGGCTAGAGTGTACAGCCTTAGGGTTGAGAGTTTATGGCCACCGTTGTGCTGGGCTTGTTTGGGATTTGCAACTTGGGTTCAGACAGCTGCGCATAGACGAGTTCAAGGTACACAGTAGGTAGGGGCTCGGGATGATGATGATGATGATGATGATGATGATGCTGATGATGCTGATGGTGAGGATGGTGAGAAGGGTGAGGATGATGGCGATCGTAATGATGATGCTTATGATGTTGATGACGATGATGATCACGATGATGATGGTGATGGTGATGGTGATGGTGGTGAGGATGATGAGGAGGGGGATGACGATGGTGATGGTGGTGGTGGTGGTGGTGGTGGTGGTGGTGGTGGTGGTGGTGGTGGTGAGGGTGGTGAGGGTG